TCTTTATAAGATGATGATTTAAGTCAATTGGAGTTCTTGCACTTCTAAATTCCAAGTGTTTGAATTTTTCAAGTACCATTTTCACGTAATGTGATTGAGACAAAGCTAGACCCTGAGGAGTCCTCTGGATTTTAATTCCTAGAATTACATCGGCAACTCCTAAGTCTTTCATATCAAACTTATTAGCAAGCATACGCTTAGTAGCTTGAATTTCGGCAATGTCTTTGCTCATTATTAGCATATCATCAACATATAAGCAAACAATGACTATATGATTTGGAATGTTCTTAATGTAAACACATTTATCACATTCATTAATCTTAAACCCATTTGACAACATTGTTTGGTCAAATTTCGCATGCCATCGCTTGGGTGCTTGTTTTAGTCCATAAAGGGACTTAACAAGTCGATACACCTTCTTTTCTTTTCCCAGAACCACAAACCTTTCAGGTTGGTCCATGTAAATTTCTTCCTCTAGATCACAATTTAAGAAGTCTATTTTTACATCCATTTGATGGATTTGAAGACCATACAAGGCGGCTAACGCTATTAGCATCCGAATGGATGTAATTCTTGTTACCGGCGAGTATGTGTCAAAATAGTCAAGACCTTCTCGCTGTCTAAACCCTTTGACAACAAGTCTTGCTTTGTATTTGTCAATAGTACCATCGTCTTTCATTTTCTTTTTGAAAATTCATTTAGAACCCAATGTTTTGTTACCTGGAGGAAGATCAACCAATTCCCAGGTATGGTTGCTCAATATGGATTCTATTTCACTATTGACAGCTTCTTTCCAATATTGTGCTTCTGAGGAAGACATTGCTTCCTTGAAGGTACGAGGCTCATTTTCTAGCAGGAAAGTCAGAAAATCTGGACCGAATGAAGTAGATGTCCGTTGACGTTTACTTCTTCTCGGATTTTCCTCATTATGCATACCATCCGTTATTTCCTCCCGAGGTCGTTTTGACTTTTGGTAGGTCACTTCACTTTCCTTTTTATATGGATAAATAGTTTCAAAGAATTCAGCATTATCTGATTCTATTATCGTATTAACGTGAATCTCAGGATTTTCTGACTTATGAACCAGAAAATGATATGCCTTGCTATTGGTTACATATCCAATAAATACACAATCAACCGTTTTTGGACCTATCTTAACCCTTTTAGGTTTAGGAACTTGTACCTTAGCTAAACACCCCCACACTTTGAAGTATTTCAAGCTGGGCTTCCTTCCTTGCCATTTTTCATAGGGAATGGACTGTGTTTTACTATGAGGTACACGGTTGATTATTCGGTTAGCTGTAAGTATAGCTTCCCCCCACAAGTTCTGTGGTAAACCAGAACTTATCAACAACGCATTCATCATCTCTTTCAACGTTCGATTCTTTCTCTCCGCAATTCCATTAGATTGTGGAGAGTAAGGGGAAGTTGTTTGGTGAATAATGCCATTTTCCAAACATACTTCTTCAAAAGGAGATTCATATTCTCCACCCCTATCACTTCTTATCATTTTGATCTTTTTGTTTAGTTGTGTTTCAACTTCACTATTGTATTGCTTGAAAGCATCAATTGCCTCATCTTTAATATTAAGTAAATAAACATAGCAATATCTTGTGCTATCGTCAATAAAAGTAATAAAATACTTTTTCCCACCGCGAGATGGTATTGATTTCATGTCGCAAATATCTGTGTGAATTAAGTCTAAAGGACTTGAATTCCTTTCAACGGACTTATAAGGATGCTTAGCATACTTTGATTCCACACATATTTGACATTTGGAATTAATGCAATCAAATTTTGGCAATACTTCTAAATTTATCATTTTTCGCAATGTTTTGAAGTTGACGTGACCTAAGCGTGAATGCCATAAAGTGTTTGACTCAAGTAAGTAAGAAGAAGCATTAACTTTATTGATAGGAACTGCTATTACATTTAGCTTAAAAAGGCCCTCATTCAGGTAACCTTTTCCTACATACATATAATTCTTACTTAGTACAACACTATTGGAAACAAAAATACATTTGAATCCATTCTTGACAAGAAGTGAGATAGACACAAGATTCTTGCGAATTTCTGGAACATGGAGAACTTGGTTTAGAGTCACTATTTTTCCAGACGTCATCTTCAACGCACTCTTACCAACTCCTTCAATTTTGGCTGTAGACGAATTTCCCATGAAAGTTGTCTCGTCGGGTCCTGCAGGGGCATAAGAAGAAAATAACTCCTTGTTAGCATAAACATGGCGGGTGGCTCCAGAATCTATCCACCATTCTTTAGGATTTCCTACCAAGTTGCATTCAGACAACATGACACACAAGTTCTCCATTTCTTCAGCATTTTCATGTTAGCTTGATTCTTCTTCTTCTTATCATTCTTTGGTGCACGACAATCCACGGCCTTATGCCCAGATTTTTCACAGTTGTGGCAATTACCCTTGAACTTTTTCTTGCTTGGGTAATTCTTTGGTCCAGAAGCCTTCTTTCTCTTCTTATTTTGTGGCGCCTCCTCAACAATATTAGCCCTTATTATTGTCGAATTTCCACGTGACTTCTTTTCAGCATTTTTGTTGTCTTTTTCTATCCTCAAACGAACAATCAAGTCTTCTAGTGTCATTTCCTTCCGCTTGTGTTTAAGATAGTTCTTAAAGTCCTTCCACAACGGAGGTAACTTCTCAATGAAAGCGGCGACTTGAAAGGCCGCATTAATGACCATACCTTCAGCAAGGAGGTCATGCACAATAACTTGTAATTCTTGGACTTGAGTTATGACCGACCTAGTGTCAATCATCTTGAAATCCAAAAACCTTGCAGCCACGAACTTCTTAAGTCCGGCATCCTCATTCTTGTACTTTTTCTCAAGCGCATCCCATAACGTTTTTGATGTTTCAATGACACTATAGACATTGTACAGGCTATCTTCCAAACAACTCAAGATGTAGTTCTTGCACAAGAAATCAGAATGTTTCCATGCTTCAGTTACAACACATCGTTCGTCATCTGGAGTATTTTTAGCCAGGACCGGAGGATCCTCCTTGATGAATCGCTGCAAACTCAACGTAGTAAGATAGAAGAGCATCTTCATTTGCCAGCGTTTGAAGTCGATACCGGAAAATTTTCCGATTTTTTCTGCTGGTGCCATAGCATGAGCAGGAGTTGAACGGCTTGACCAGGCAGCCACATTTGTAACAGTAGCACCCGTTCCCGCAACATTTCCATTAGTTTGGTTTCATTCGTTATTTTTTCTGTAAAGTTGGAAACAAAACAGAACTTGGTTAAATCAGTGAAGTTTTGATATCTTCAAACTGAATACCAAACCAAACATACAACACGTAACAATGGTGAAGTTTTTATATACTTCAAACCCGTACGTTTATTATTCCGGTAAAGTTTTGATATACTTTAAACCGGACAGAACAATTATTGGAGTAGAAAGCACGAAAACTTTAATCTCCAAAATAATATACAAATATAGATAATAGTTTTAATATATATATATATTTCAACACAGAAACGTTAGTATAAATAAATTTCCATAAGCTTATTGTTATCCGCTACTGTGTTAAAACACAAAATCAGAAAACTGTTAGAAGAATAAAAGAAACTGGAAAAACAGTAAAGAATAAGAAATATTCCGAGTCCACAATTTGCTTGTGTGTCCTTAAGGAATTTTAACCCCCTTACACGTTGCCAAGGTAATGGATTAAATCCTTCCAGGATGAAACGGAATAAATTTTCCTGCAACAGTGACAATACAAACTGCAGGATACCAACAAACTTAAAGAACAGAGCAAAAGTCACACTTACGAATTTGAGAGAGAGAGACTGCGAATTAGAATGCAGTATTTTCAGAAAGAAGAAAGTTCTGTAATGTTTTTTGGTGTGTTAAAAACGAAGCCATGCCTCAGAATTTATAGGCAATTATTGGAAGAGGTGTGATGTTTGTTCTGGAAAAGGTGCCTTTTCAGAAGTTTACGCGGCCTGCCGCGGTCCTACTGCGGTTACGCCAGGACCGCGGCCAGAGTGACCCTCTGAATCTGCAGCAGGGTTCTGGCGCGGTCCTACCGCGGCCAGACTATCAGTGATCTAGCATTTAATTAATTATTAAATAATTAATTAAATAAATTTTGTCCAAAAATAATCTTATCGATCATTTGACAAATCCGAAGCCGAAGCCGAGCGAGCGACGACAACGGCGCGAGGGATCATTCTCTTCAACTCCTTTTAAGAGCTTTAAGAAGTGATTCTATATATAAGCACACAAATGTAGTTGTCCCTCACCAATGAGGGACAAAGTGCAAGTCAAAAGCTCACTTCATTCAAATTTTCATTTCCCTCCATTTTATTTCTCACCATTTCCAATTCACACTCTTATATTATACTTTAAAACCCAATGCTTAAAGTCTTTGAAGCTCAATGCCTTTAAAGTCCAACATAAAATACATACTTCATTTATTTTTTCTCAAAGAGAGTATAAAGTCAAGAACAGACAACTAAAAATGAACGGAGGGAGTATAAAGGATGAAAAAGTACAGCTTACTATTCTAAAATGATTTCCGTAATCATAAAAAAATAGTCCTAAAACTGTTTTAGTATCAGTCTGATCAGTCCTTACAGTTGGTAGTAGAATATACCGTAAAACAAAATACTAATTAACAAAAGACAATGAATAAAGAATTGACTCCTCTAACAAAATTGGCTAAGAGATTCTTGCTTGATTTTTATACACGTACACAGAACTAGCTACTTGTCTTATTTTAATTTTTAATACAATAGCAGATAGGCAGTGAGCGTTGGGAGTATTACTTATAACCAAACCATATGCACACAATTTTAGAGAAAAATCATTAAAAGCTAAAACTAAAGCAACATCTTCTCCCAAATATGGCTTCCAATACTAGTCATGTTTTAGGTGATGAAGAAAGTCAGCTTTCTGGTGGAAGTAATAGAGTTCAACCTTTCTCTACTACACCAAAAAAGTAAGTGATTTTGTCCTTTAATTTTCTCCCTCGCTCTTAACCAATATTGTTCGCACTTTCCAAATATATATGTTACCGCAGGTCCGCAACCATATCACATCCTCCAAAAACGCTCTACTTTTGGAAGATCCGCCACGTATCAGTCGATATGTTTAATTCTGCACAATGTGTCAATGCTCCTCCTCACTCTTATCCTATGTTGCTAGGACTCTCAAAATCCTGTATCAAATTTTTCAAAAATACATTACTTTTGGAGAAATTCGGCACGCAGCCGTCAGTATTTTTTAAGAATCCGAACAACATAGATCTTCACTTTACCTTCTTGTTTGATAATTTTTTCCCATTGTCCTAATGTATGTACTTGACTTCTTTTTAGCAGTAATATTGATGATGAGGGAAAGAAGCATACCTCTCTCACAGTGGCACAAAGGCTGGGCATTTCTGACTTCTTTTCTTTGGATGTTAGTACATTTCATCTCTATTTCAGCTTTCACAATATTTCTAAAAAGAATAGGCTACAATGTTTCACTATTCTTTGAGCGAGTGACCATAGTAATTTTTTATATAAAAGTTAAACTTTTTATGAATATAGGTATGGCGAGCGTCGGTGGGAGAGCTTCTAGCCTCGGCGGTTCTTGTTTTTATGTTGGACACTATAGTGATCTCTACCTTTGAAAGTGATGTGAAAATGCCAAATTTGATCATGTCAATTCTCATAGCAATTGTGATCACAATTCTACTCCTCGCCGTTGTTCCGGTGTCCGGTGGCCATATAAACCCCGTTATCTCCTTCTCCGCCGCGCTCGTCGGAATTATATCCATGTCAAGAGCCATAATTTACATGGTGGCACAATGTGTTGGAGCAATTTTAGGTGCACTAGCTCTAAAAGCAGTAGTTAGCTCTACAATTGCACAAACTTTCTCACTTGGTGGTTGTACTATAACAGTAATTGCACCGGGCCCAAATGGGCCCATTACAGTGGGCCTAGAAATGGCCCAAGCTTTGTGGCTTGAGATCTTTTGTTCATTTGTTTTTCTTTTTGCTTCAATTTGGATGGCTTATGATCATAGGCAAGCTAAGGCTCTTGGACTTGTCACTGTCTTGTCCATTGTTGGTCTAGTTTTGGGCCTTCTTGTGTTCATCTCGACCACGGTCACCGCGAAAAAGGGCTACGCCGGGGCGGGGATGAATCCGGCGAGGTGTTTCGGGGCTGCTGTTGTGAGAGGAGGTCATCTTTGGGATGGACATTGGATTTTTTGGGTTGGGCCTACTATTGCTTGTGTAGCATTTTATGTATACACTAAGATAATTCCACCAAAGCATTTCCATGCAGATGGATACAAGTATGATTTTATTGGAGTTGTTAAGGCTTCGTTTGGGTTGCATGTATGAAGATATGGTCCAGAAAAAATGCAGATGCAATAATGGGCTTTTAATAAACTAATGTGTTATTAGCCTAATAGGATTTAAGTACCAAGTGAAAATGTGAAATAGAATATCAGATCATATCGTCCCCTTCCCCACTTGATGTAATTTTTAACTTGTCAATGTTACAGTAAGTTTTTTTTTCTTTTTTCCTTTTTCCTTTTTATGTTTTTCTTTATATCCGCATGATTTGAATGTTCCGTATAGTTTACTATAATCAACTTCTAATATTTGATAGCAAGTTATGTAGAGTTAATCTTACTTAACCAGCAACATCATTTGTCTTTCTTTTATTATATAAACTTTCTAAAAGTTATTATTGTATAAGTGTATATCTGCATAAAAAATGCAATAAGCAACCAAACTTATATATTACTTTTAAGCATCCATTGTCATTAACATACATAAAAATTTGATGGGCATATATCAGAAAGGAAAAAGAACTCGCGAAGTTACATGATAAGGTAGAGACTTATTATATAGTCTGTGTGTAGTGCGTTGGTTATATGATATGATACGATACGATGAAAATGAGCTTATTGGTTCAACCAAATCGTCGTAATTAATTAATGTTAGACTTAGGCTTAAATCTGAATTGTTAGATTTCAATTTATTAAGCGCATTGTTTTTTTCTTTTACGACAACTTATTGGTTATTAATGATAGTGACTTTTACTTAATGATTCTTGTGAAAGTGATTTGTAGTGATACTCTCACTCTATTCAGTAATACCAAAAACCTCCCCCTACCACTAGCGTTCGGTGCACAATCATTGTCGCCAACCACCTATATATCCACCATGCAACAATCACCTCCATTGTGCATAACCATCACCGCCAATCGTATTATGTCAACCACTAGTCACACCTCCACAACGTAACGAACTATTCCCTGAACCAGCCAACACCCCTGCCACCTCCACCATAAGCCTGAAGCCTCCACTAGCAATCACCACTAGTGATCACCTTCATCACCAGTTATCACCATTAGCTATCACTGTATAGCTGTAACCTGTGGCTACCACCACACAACGACTATCAGCTATCAGACCAACCATAACCACCAGTAATCGCCATCTTACAACTGTCACGATCGACCACTACCAATGCCATCGAAGGATTGCATATAGATGTTCATAACACGCTGCGGAAGACGATAACAATCCTAGGCAGATCGTTTCGTGTTTAAAATTTATTTACATGTCAAAGATCGGATCTAAGATGTACCTGGTGAAGAGAGTCTCGTTTCAAAATTTCTTCGATAGTGCGCAGACTCTATGCGTATCCACACCGAGACCGATCCTTGCTATCAACTTTTTTATCAATGAAACCCGCGAACAAATTGAAAGAAAATTGTGTTGAAATTTTTGTCAAAAATCTCAACTCAAATTTATAAGAACAAGAAACACTTTTCTTGTAATTGTATTTTCTCTCTTCGGTTTGTATTGCACTTTCACTTTCACAAAGTGGTTTTTCTTCTCAAGAATTGATACGGCAAATTTTCTCCATCATCTTTTATATAGCATCACCTATAAATCTTTTTCCTATTTAGTTGAGATAATGATTTACTTAGGGTAAAAGTTTATTCCAAAAATAAACTTGTGAAATTTTCCATTGGAGAAACGTATATGCCATTCCTAATCGGAAACGTGCGCTGTCGTCAGCTTGTACTTTAAGGACGTTCCAATTCAGTTCCAAATTGGATTGGATTGTGAAAATTAACTAATATTTTATATTAAAAAATATCAATCCCATTCTTAATGGGTTTGAGCTAATCTCACGTCCACTTTTGGACTTTGTTATCCATTCCAATTCTAAATTGGATTTCCAAATAAGTTTTTATTAATATATTATATGCACACTTTGTGCAAATAAATATTAATTATATATATCACATATATATTTCAACCAAGAGATATAATTTAATTTTCTATTCCAAATAAAAAGCTTCAATTTGCTCACAATATTAATTATAACCTTTGTGCTAGCAAAAAATATAATAATATTTTACTAGGACCAATAACTAAGTTTATTTGACTAATTAAATTCTTTAATTTAATTATCAAATACTAAAGTAATTAATCCTTTAGCAAAGATCAGAACACTCGTTAGTGTGCGACCCCATAGGTTCAATACTAACCCGGTAGTAAATTGATCATATTAATATACTAATCAAGGGTGGCGCCTAGCAACACTCCTTAACGACCGGATAGCACGAAGTATACAATTTACTCTCAAGAACCCGTAGAAGAATAACGCAGTAATTCCTTCTGTCCTTATAGCTCTGGGTCACCCTAGGATATGGTTCAACTGTCAAATCCTAATAGGCGACCAACTATGTGTTCATGTCAAATATAATCGACCATTGAATAACCTAAGAAACTCTTTTCTTCTTTCATTCAATTGCCCTGGCCAAGGTCTTAGTTTGGCCGTTTATAATTCATGACAACATGGAGCTTAAACTCATTACCAAGAATTGACAGATTCCATCTTGATCAGTCACTAATTCTACAAGCATTTAATCGTACCCAATATCCTTTCAATTATCGCCCTAGGGCCATAGGTGTCTAGTATCAAAGCACAATAAATAACTTGTCAATTACTATGACGATCTCAGGTCAAAGGAAACTCTTACATCACATTCTTCAAGAGAATATCCTATTGACAATTTATGGTAATTCTAACCATTAGGAATTATCCAATGAGTCGGTTCAATGATCATATCTCTATATGCATCATCTATCTATGTGATTTAGTTAATGAGATCAACTAATCATTATCCCATAAAGACGATCACATAAATATTGATCTAACCGGATTACTAATGTCCAAATTAATAATCCTACGATCAAGAACAAAATTTAGATTAAATTATAAGAAACTTCACTCTCATTATCATGATCTCCATCAAGATGGTAAGTCTCAAAATTTAATCAAGGACCTTAATAAATTAATTAAGCAATTAATAATAACTATGATAAAAGAATATCAAATGCCATATAAATTTTATATCAAATGACCGTTCACAAAAATATGTTCAAATCATCAAGTATGAGATTAGATCTAGGGCATATCTACTATATCCCTAACAATCTCCCACTTGCACTAGAGCTAATCGCTCTTGTACTTCATGCCCAATTTTCACTTGTGCTTTTCAAACTCCTTTGCGCCAAGAGCTTTAGTGAATGGGTCTGTAGCATTTTCCTTTCCATCAACCTTTTGAATCTCGACGTCTCCACGTTCAATGATCTCTCTTATCAAGTGATACCTTCGCAGAACGTGTTTGGATTTTTGGTGTGATCTTGGTTCTTTTGCTTGAGCAATGGCTCCAGTGTTGTCACACAACAATGGAACTGCACCTTCTAGTGAAGGAACCACACCAAGTTCAGTTAAGAACTTTTTCATCCATACAGCTTCCTTAGCAGCTTCACTAGCTGCTATATATTCTGCTTCAGTCACTGAATAAGCTACTGTAGCTTGTTTGGAACTTTTCCAACTCACTGTACCACCATTTAAGGTGAACACATAATCAGAAATTGATTTGCTATCATCCCTATCTGAAGAGATACTTGCATCAGTATAACCTTCAAGTTTCAACTCAGAATCTCCATAAATGAGGAATTGGTCTTTAGTCCTTCTTAAGTACGTAAGAATAGTCTTCACCACCTTCCAATGTTCCTCACCAGGATTTGCCTGACATCGGCTAGTCACTCCTAGTGCATAAGCCACATCAGGACGTGTACATGTCATGGTATGCATGATAGCTCCCACTGCACTAGCGTATGGGATCCAACTCATGCATTCTCTCTCTTCAGGTGTTTTAGGACAATCTTCCCTACTGAGAGTAATTCCAATGCCTATCGGTAGATAGCCTCTTTTTAAATTATCCATGTTATACCTTTTCAAAATGGTATCAATGTACAAAGATTGGGAAAGTCCAAGCAGCTTCCTCGATCTATCTCTATAGATCTTTATTCCTACTATATAAGCTGCTTCTCCCAAGTCTTTCATGGAGAACTGTTCAGATAGCCAAATCTTGGTACTTTACAATGCCGGTATATCATTCCCTATGAGTAATATATCATCAACATACACTACTAAGAATATAATTGTGCTCCCAGCCTCCCACTAACCTTTTTGTACACACAAGGTTCTTTTTCGCATCTAACAAAATTGAACCTTTCAATTGTCTTGTTAAAGCGAATATTCCACTATAGGTTTTATATCCTTTGAAGCTTCAACTAAAGTCCATAGTTTATTTTCCTTCATGGATTCCATTTCGGATTTCATGGCTTTTGCCATTTCTTATAGTCAGAACCTTGTATTACCTCTTCATAGGTCTTAGGGCCATCATCATTATGATCAACCTCATTTGATACATCATCTTATACCATTAGATTCAATCTAGTTGGTACATGACGTTCTCGTGTAGACCTTCTAAGAGGTGCTTGTACAACTTGTTCACCTTGTGCTGGATTTTGCTGTTGTTCAATTTGGTTTGGAACTGGTTCATTAACCCGTTCTTGAACTACATTTAGTTCTTGAACTTCAACCGTTGAAGATGGCAACTTCCTTGTCAACTTCAAAACATCCAATAAAGGTTCTTCAACTTGTGTCTCATGATTTTGATTTTGTGTTGATTCATTAGTTTCTTGAACTTCATCAAGTTCTATTTCTTCACCATAATTTCCTTCTAAAAGAAATTCCCTTTCCAAAAAGGTTGCTCCTCTAGCCACAAACACTTTATGGTCAGAAGGGTGATAGAAATAATATCTCATTGTTTCTTTGGGATACCCAATGAACCTACACTTATCAGATCTTGAATCAAGTTTATCAGTGTCACGACCCCAACCCCGGTCGTGATGGCGACCAACGCACTGCTAGGCAAGCCCGACCAATTTAATAACCTTAACCATTTTTATCCAGTTCATGAATTAATTAACACGAATAAATTACTAAGTCATGATACTGAAGTTCTGAAATAGAGTAAAACATGCGGAAATCCCAAATATCAATACTACTACACAGCCCGAAGAATCCAGTGTAACAAGTCTGAGCCTCTAATACATGGGTATCAACCTACTACATATCGTTCTCTAGAAAATACGAAAATAAAGCAATAAGATAGAAGGAAGATCAGGACTGCGGACG